TCATCAATACGTAGATCAATATCGTTACTGAGGAAGATGAAAAATCAATCATCAATACGTAGGACAATATCGTTATTGAGGAAGATGAAAATCAATCGTCGATACGGAGATCAATATCATTACTGAGGAAGAGAAAAATCAATCATCGATACGAAATCAATAGTGTTACTGAGGAAGATAACAAATCAATCAGTGATCAGAAATCAATATTGTTACTGAGGAAGAGAAAAATCAATCGGTTGATATGGAGATCAATATCATTACTGAGGAATATGAAAAATCAATCGTCAATACGGAGATCAATATTGTTACTGAGGAAGATGAAAAATCAATCATTGATACGAAGATCAATATGCGTTACTGAGGAAGAGAAAATCAATCGGTCGATACGGAGATCAATATTGTTACTGAGGAAGGGAAAAATCAATCATCGATACGGGAGGTCAATATCGTTACGGAGGAAAAGAATAATAAATAAAAATCTGCCTGCCGCAGAAGGGAAAAATAAATTATCGATACGGAGATCAATATTGTTATAATGCGTGCAGCCGAATCTGCCATCAACTCATCAGATTCTTCATGAGTTATGATGCTCTTTCTCCACAAACATTCAACTAAAAGCCACGCCAGAGAGACGTGAATGAGAGAACGGAGAGAGAGCAAAAGAGAGACAGAGAGAGAGGCGAGTGAAAAGAGAGAAGAGAGACGAGAGAGAGAGAGGACAGACGAAAGATTAGAGAGAGAGAGAAGAGACAGAGAGAGACAGAAAAGAAGAGAGAGAGAGGGAGATAGAGATGAAGAGAGAGAGAGGAAGAGAGAAGAGAGAGAGAGAGAGAGAGAGAGAGACGAGAGAGAGGAGAGAGGAGAAGAGAGAGAGAGAAGAGAGAGAGACAGAGGACAGAGAGAGACGGCAGGTAAGAGGAATATTGTGGAGGTTGCACGAAGCACAGAGCAGAGCCCGCGCCTGCACAGACACATGTATTGATCTTATCGATCTCTTATCTTCAAATACATTTTAATTTACACACACAACTGCCAACACGCCGATTTTATTACTATGCTATATTCATATGTATTATAGTATTATTATACTACATACATAAGTATATATATATATATATATATATATATATATATATATATATATATATATATATATATATATATATATGTATATATTCACAAGTACTTTATAGTATATATAATAAAAATACATTTCCATAACTGAGTCAATAAATGTACGACTGCACCCCCCCCCCCCCACTAGTATTTATTGGGGCACACACGAACGCATCCAGCCGTTGTACGCATGCACATATCAACGCACCATGTCGTCTTGCAGACACAGAGTTTTGCGCAATAAGGAGGTATTGTGTGTGTACAGACACAGCACACGCACGCCGTGTCAGTCAGTCACTCGCTCACTCGCGCAGTCTTTCATGCGAAACGGCTCGCGGCCGGTAAAGTTACTCTCTCGTTCGTAATCGATAGCAAACGCGTCAAAACACGAGCGCACTCTCCATCACCGCCGCCGAGCTCTTACGCAAACACACCCACGTCGTCGTCGCTAGTAGCGCCCGCGTCTAAATATTTTCGCAGCTTATCAATCGCGACTGATTGCCGCGCTGACGTCGGTCGAACGATATCGCCATGACAACCGACGCAAACTCGCGCACGCGAGGAAACGACGCAAAAATCGAAACTCGATTAACGGTCTGCGTTATGATTAAGTAATAACACCATTGCCGCCTGCCTGTCTGACTGACTGCTTGTCACTTCCTTGTGAATCTACCGCGTGCCGACCATCCGCAAGAAAGTTAAGTGAACTCAGCGGGAAAAACTCTTCTTCCTACAGCTCTCTCGCGTCGCAACCAATCGCAAAGATGCTCTCCGAATTCTTCTTCGTCCAAATTCTTTCTTCATCCAATTTCTTCTTCGTCCAATTTCTTCTTTGTCTGAATTCCGAAGCTTCTCGCGAGATTCTTCAGACCCAGACCGCCCCGACTGTCATACGTTCCTTCATCCATTCTCCTCATCAGCATGCACGGCCGGCATCCGAACATCTCTCGCACTGTTCTTCGCCACGTCCTCGTTGAAGATCCGCCATCGTCGAATAATCGCCAGAGCGCCGGACAAACGACAGAGCGACGGACGAACAACAGAGCGAGTGACGGACGAACAACAGAGCGAGTGACGGACGAACAACAGAGCGAGTGACGGACGAACAACAGAGCGAGTGACGGAGAGCTGCGGAGAGAGAAGGAGAGCGACCTCTGCCACGCGCGAGCGTGCGACGTGATTCGCTGCCGCTGCGCGTACTTACCGACAGAGTAGTTGCCCGGCTCGTCAAAGCGGCGAATCAGACGTGAGACGGCACGACTGCTGCCTGGAGGCGCGCGGGATGGCACGGCGGCGCCACCTACGCTCCAGACGAACGAGACGTCGGCCATTCCGTTCTCGACTGCAAATAGAAATGGTTTATTCATTTAATTGGTTAATTTAATTGCTATTAAATAGTTGTCCTAATTATTAACCATAACCATTATTGGCCAAAGTTAATCAATAATCATCAATCAATAACAGTGTAACTTTAGTCAAGGCTATTAAATGGTTGTCCTAATTAATAACTAATAGTAATAACCATTAATCGTCAAAGTTAATCAATAATCATCAATCACTAACAGTGTAACTTTAGTCAAGGTTATCTAATGTTTGTCTTAATTAATAACTAATAACCATTACTAGTCAAAGTTAATCAATAATCATCGGTCAATAACACTGTAAATTTAGTCAAGGCTATCTAATAAGTGCATCTCAATCTCTTATGGCACATCGTAACTCTTTTCTAATCTGTACTGTAATAAGGAGGTGGGACGACTCATCGATATATCGATGCGTCACGATGCAAACCTTGACGATATACGTATCGATATGATTGATCATCCACAACACACATGCTGATACTCTATACTGAATAAAATCCATATCGTTTAGTAGCGCAGTTCCATCCAAAAACAAAAGAAACAACAATTCGCAGCTCGAGAGCAGTTGTTCACTAAGTGCTTCATCATACTGATTTGTAAGTATTCACATAATTGGTAGATTCCCAGTTGAGTCACTATAGTTTGCTGGGTATAGTTTCTCTTAAAAGTATCGTGATGCATATCGTATCGTGATGGCTGTGTATCGTGATACGCATCATATCGTGAAGGCTGTATCATGATACGGATCGTATCATGAAGACTGTATCACGATACGTGACCGTATCGTGAAATCGTGATACTTATCATATCGTGAAGGCAGTGTATCGTGCGTGATACATATCAGGAGTTAATAAAGACAAATTTGTCTTTATTAACATTTGACACATATCATATTGTGAAGGCAGTGTATAGTGATACGTATCATATCGTGAAGGCTGTGTGTATTATCGTGATACGTATCATATCGTGAAGACAGTGTATCGTGATACGTATCATATCGTGAAGGCAGTGTATCGTGATACGTATCATATCGTGAAGGCTGTGTGTATATCGTGATACGTATCATATCGTGAAGGCTGTGTGTATTATCGTGATACGTATCATATCGTGAAGGCTGTGTGTATTATCGTGACACGTATCATATCCTGAAGGCTGTACATCGTGATATGGATCACGCATCGTAAGCTACTCGTATCGTCCGGCCCGTAATCGCACACATTGCCTCGCGGCTGCCGCCTTACCTTCTCTGCTGCCGTTGACTGCCGCGGCTGCGAGCCTGGCCTCGGCCTCCAACACCGTCCTCTCTCCCATCACGACCCGGCGCTCCGCACGCACGCTCACATTCAGCAGGTAGAGGGCGCTGGTCGAGTACGCCGACCAACCCGTGGCGCCGCCGCACGCCAAATTTGGGAATGACGAGCAGCTGGAAAATGGGCATAACCATCGTGATTAACGCATTTCGATAATGTTATCCTAATCAATTAATTATTGTTATAATTGCCATTATAATAGATTTCTAAATTAGCATATTTATAGTCAAGCAGTCAAAGTGGTTCAGCCACCTATCCAGTGTGAACGCCTTACAGTCCACGTTACGATAACTTTTCGAACTGCGTGAACGCAGGGAGGGAGTAATGTACAAGTCCCCACCTAGAGACAACCCCTTCCTCTGGTTTGGAATGTAGGACGATGGCGGTAAGGTTCTTACTGCAAGATGCACGACTACAGTGCTTTGCTTATGCTGCCGGACCTTAGTTCTTTTTACCTCATACTTCACGATTATCGGCCTAGCCTTGAATTGCAACACCGGGTTTGAAAATTGAACTTTTTTTAGCAGGCAGCATTGTCAGAAAAAAACAGCAGGCAACATATTTACTCACCCCGGCAGAATCTTTGGTGCTTTTTATGAGGAATTACTTGGCAGCAAGTATTTGCTCCCGATGTTGAGAGCAGACAGAAAACTGACTATTGTAGCCAGAAAAAACTACCGCTTGCTGCCCTTAATTTTGGACCCTGTAAACTGACCATTGTAGCCAGAAAAAACTACTGCTTGCTGCCCTTAATTTCGGACCCTGTAAACTGACCATTGTAGCCAGAAAAAACTACCGCTTGCTGCCCTTTCAAATCCTGACAACACCAGAGTTCTTACCTTACATTGCATGACACGCTCTGCACAAGCTTTAGCCTGCTAAGCTGATGGAGACATCCACACTGACTGTCACCATGGACAGCGGCATACTCGTACCTGCAAACGAAGCAGAGGTTCAGGTCAGTATTAGACAAGCATTACCTGACGACCACACCTGGGCGAATAACTACCACGGCTCCTGTCATGTTGGTAACACGCTCACACCAAGCCACATGTTAAGGTTTCATCTGCCGAGCCACATGATAAAGGTTTCATCTACCAAGCCACATGATAAAGGTTTCATCTACCAAGCCACCTGTTAAAAGTTTCATCTACCAAGCCACATGATAAAGGTTTCATCTACCAAGCCACCTGTTAAAAGTTTCATCTACCAAGCCACATGATAAAGGTTTCATCTACCAAGACACCTGCTAAAGGTCTTAAAGTGATCACGTCACATTATTAAAACAGTTAAAATTGAAAAAATTATGTGCACTTTTCCACAAAATGTAAGTGATTCTGTTCACTTTTTATGACTTTAATGCATTATAATTCCTATTTTGCTATTCCGTTCGATGTGAACAAACACTCGTGACTCATACATAGCCTATAAAAAGCATTTAATGTCGTGATCAATATAACAAATCGGCAAGAGTCAGAATTTGAGGATACATTTAGTGCCGTTAGTACTTACTTTTCACGTAAAAAAAATTGCAACAACATTTTTACAAATATACACCATAGAAAATTCGTGGCATAGTCAATTTAACTACCAAGCAACTTGCTCCACATCTCATCTACCAAGCCACCTGTGCTACGGGTTGTATCCACACCAAGCCACCTGCTATGAATCACACCTTCTAAGGTACCATCATGGGTCACGCCAACCAAAGGTTCTGCCACGGGACGCACATCACGCTACACATTTCAACAACGTCTGCATCACCCACAACGCTACCGCCGCACACGCTCGCTCGCTCGCTTTCGCGTCAAGAAGCAAACTGCTGAACCCACTGCGGGCTTTGTCTTCTGACAATCAATCGTCGTAGTTTGCACAAGGGCAGGTGCAGACAGTCGCCATGGAAACGGCAAACATTGAGCACGCGACGACTGGTCGGGCATGTTGCGTTACACTAGCCGGCCTGTCAAACACAGAGTACCGCGAAACACTGCACGAGATTCAATAACACGAACGCTTCACAAACCGCAGCTGCTGACGCAATATATTACGAGCGGGAAAAATGTATTTTTTAGCCTGCCTGACATGACAAATTTTGTCAAGACGATAGATTGAGTACATAATGCATTTGTTTACGCACAGATAGAGGTCATGTAGGAAACAATCGGGAGATAGTATACTAACGGGTTTACAGAGACACGTATTCTACTGCAGTGTATAAACGGTCGCACGAAGAAATAGTAATTTTGTAATGCAAATACTGGTTTACTGCGCGCATATATATACATTACACATGCAATGACGTACAATATAGATATGGATTGACCATTAGAATTGCAAAGGTTTTCAGTTCATAACTCTAAAAAATGCTCTCTCAGCTACAAAAATCGTGAATATTGTTCAATTCCCCCACGTATACTAGTAGCTCTATTGCAGACAGAACATATTTATGAAGCTTGTGGAACAATAGATTATTATCTAAGAGTCCTGATCATATCATATACAATAGTTTCTAAAGGATTCTACAACTACTACACAAATTATTATATTATACAACTATTACACAACAGCATTACACAACTATTATACAATAGTTTACTGAAGGATTTGACGCGATTTTAAAAATAGGATTCCTAACTTCCCAGATTTCCCCGTTCGAATGGTGAACCCTTGGCTGTGACTTCTTCATGCACATCAGCTGCATTCTTAGCACAGGTCAATCAACTGTACGCCCAGAATAACAAATGCATAGTTTAACGTGTGGAACACGATAGAAATAGAACCAAACGTGCGCCAACAGAACCAGTGTGTAACACAACTCACTCCAAACCAAAAATCAAAGCTGGTAACGGTTTCAGGTTATACTGTTAAACTTAGTTTGTTACAAAGGACGATATCGGAGAGTCAGAAGTTTCTAGTTTAGGATAAAGAAGAAATTTATAGTTTGTTTGTTAATGTGTTTTAAGAAAAAATAAACATTATTTCATGTCACATTTTGCATAAAATTTTTGCATAATGTGCAGACAAAAATTAATATGGCCTTAGCTTCTCATTGGCTAAGCTCCACTTGGCTGAAATATGATAATAACGAGTAGCGTACACTTGTTATTAATTTGTTATTTATTAATTCCTCTAGGTGTGATAATATAGAAAATTATAAGAAGGAACATTTTGGTAGAATGAGAGTCACAGGGAAATATCTGACTCGATATATATATCCACTTTTATGTGCTATATTGCGAATTTTCCACCGTATATATATAATATCTGGCCCGTTTAACCACATAATAAAAACATTGAAAATAGGCAATTTAGCTAACAAGGCATATGCTAAAATCGTGTAAAAATAACATTTCTATATTAGTAACACGAGCGTGCAGTAGTACAACAGTGCTCGTATATAGCGCTGGCTGCGCTGCCACTGTTGCCAGCCACAACCACGGTGTCCTATATACACAATAGAACTTTTTACCGCGATGTTCACCCAATACTGATGCTTTTTGCTGACGTTATTTGCAAGCGGTGAAGCATTCCTACCCAAATTTTTGTGTAAAAAAAAACAATTAAAACAAGTACCAAAAGCGTTTTTTTTAATACGTGTGGAATAAAGCGATCTACACAGTAGACCAAAAGCATGAAGAAAAGCACGTCCTGAAGAAAAGCTAGAACAACAAAAAATGCTATGGAAACAGTAATAACAGAAAACGAAACAAAAACCCAAGGCCAATCTTTACAGCTTCATTCAAGCAGTTCATCCAAACGCATTAAAAAACGAGAAACGGAAAAGCGTTCCGAACAAAAGTACAAGCAACAAAACCCAACGCCATAGCAGCAGCTGGGCCCAACAGTAAACTGACAAGCTCAGCAAGAGTGGTGGGTCGGGACTCTCGGGAGGTTCATAAAGATCATGTATATATATATATACGGCCACTTGATCTCTAGCAAGATAAAACCTCTACATACCACAAGAAATAACAAGAATAAAGAGACACAACATGAAATAACTCCTTATTATTGTTGTTTGTGCACAGCGGCGTGCATGCGGGTACATGTACTTGGGCGTTGCAGAGGAGCATATGCACGGCATTTACAGGAAATGAACGGCAATATAATAGTCGAAAGAGAGTATATATATATAGAGAAACATTAAGACTTTGGTAGTGAATGCATTTCGTGTTTATTTACCATCGTTTTAGCTATTAACGTTCCAAGTGCCTGTGCTACAGACAAACGTCTTTCGCATCCCGCTATAGCCATTTTATGGCAGCCGGTCGGTCTCACGCATCTGACGGGTGGGTCTGTCTGATAGTATACTGCCCCGCGGCACCCACCCTTGCCGCTTTTAATAACTTTCGCACAAAGACAGCGAGAGGCAATAAAGTTAAACATGACAGCTGTTACACAAGTGTTATTGGAACATTTGGAGATTCCGCATTATATGAGGTTAGAAAACGTGTGAAGATAACCATAAAGAACATTCCAGAACCTTTTTTTCTTGTCGCTGAATATTGAGAGACCAACTTGAAAGCGGAAATGAACCATGCTCAGTGGTAGGCCTACACTTGTGATTTCCGTAAACTTTAAAGTGTTTTTTTGCAAAGTAACTTCAGGAACCAAAACAATTTTGGGAGTCATAATAGCTAGCTCTTGAGCACCAAGGGCCGTGTAACTTCAAGTGACTGCAAGATCCATTGAAATTTCTTCGTGAAACAGTGAACCAATCAGATTTCAGTAGACAGCTTGGCCACTAACTCGTTATTCCACGAGTGGTAAATAACTTTACAAACATCATGAATATGTGGCAAGATTTGGAGAGAGAAGTTTATGGGGCCTGAGTGGATATATCGCACCTTTTGCTGCCCGGGACCCTTTGCAAGGGAACAATAAACTGGTGATCGAGATAGTCAACATAACACCCTGCCATAATAAAGAGAAAGATCGCGCGCGCGAGAGAGAGAGAGAGATAGAGAGAGAGAGAGAGAGAGAGAGATAGAAAGAAAGAAAGAGAGATAGCGATAGAAAGAAAGAAAGAGAGACAGTCTGTACCAAAATGATAGCCTCATTCGAGTATGGTCATTGAAGCAGGCCACAGTCTGAAGATCAAAACCAAAGATAAAGACCATTGCACAATACACGGTGAAGAATCTGAAGACATGACAGATTATTGTGTTATCTGCACTGCACATTGCTGCGGAAAACAACGTGATCGCATGCAATAGTGTACGCAATGCCATTTCAACGTTACATGGCAGGCGCGGGTTTAGGCCGGTTTGCACCGGTTTCCAGAAACCGGTCACAGGCTGGTTATCTTCAGAATTGACCGTCAAAATTCACCAGAATGCACCAAATATAGCCTTTTTTTTTAGATTCCCTGGGGGCATGCCCCCGGACCCCCCTAGCTGTGACTAGAACTATGGAAACTGGTCACCCAAACCCTCTGGATCCGCCCCTGCATGGACACCTGCTGCATGGTCATGTCACACTAAGAGAGTCTGCCAGTGTAACAGAGAGTATTCGACTCCCAACTTGATTCGTTTTGCCTCCTGCAGCTACACATGATATCAAGAGCGTATAAAGAATTAAGGCCTTCTTTATACGCTCTTGATGATATGTAAGGAACTGATCTCAGAAATCCCCCCACGTGACAGTATCTGCACTCCAACGAAACTCCGCATGCAAAATCTCCACCAGTCTGACAGTATAGTTACAATCTAAGGAAATTAGCCACCGACATTGCGATCCAATCCTAGTTTAGCACCCCAGATTAGCACATATATATATGCGAACTATATATATACCAGAGAGCCGTTGTCAGAAACATCGTAAAGTTAATGCTAATATTAATGCTAAGATAGCACATAAAGGTAATGTTAAAGCTAAGGCAAAGGCTAAGGCTAAGGATAAGGATAAGATAGCACTTAATGTCAATGGCACTGTTAACACTAATTTTGTTTTTGACCACGGGGCCCCGGGGTCCCCCAAACTATGATTGTGCAGACAGACATCGCGCATACGCCCACGCCGTAGATACACTCGCAATCAACTCCCCGTAGTGTAGGCCTCGCGCGCGCCTCGGGCCCTCCATGCGCACATTCTCATATTCGGCAGCTCTACAAATTGCTTTGCCTTTGAAATTGTAACAGCTAGGCTAATAGTTTCGTCTGTTACGCAGAAGGGTATAGCGTACCGGAGCGACGGAGTGGAACTAATCGTACAGACAACTGCCCAGATCCCCTAGCACACAGACGTAGACTATTGATTCTAAACGCTAACGCAAAGCATGGTAGATATAATCATGAGCTATTATTATACACTCCTAATATAATCACAGGAGTGTATAAAATAGATCTATCTGAATTAT